CATTTCCCACATACCCCCGTTCCCCGCATCACCCCCCCAGCCTCCTTCCTCATCAACATCCCCGCCAGCGTGGTGCATTTGTTACAACGGATGAATCTGCACTGACACAGCGTCACCCAGAATCCATGGTTTACGTTAGGATTTATTCTTGGTGGTGTCCATTCTGTGTTGTTTGTTTTTCTGTTACCACACTGTCTTGATTTTTGTAACTTTACAGTACATTTTGGAGTCAGGGATGTCTTTATTTCTTTAAAAAGTTGTCCTTATATTTCCCAGTATTTTAAGTGACAAATATAGAGCAGCTTCTTTGCCTGGTAGGGTCAGTGCCTGAGAGTGTTGCCTGCACGAGGACGCTGTCCTGGGTGTGGGCGAGGCCTGGAACCCAGAGCCTGCTGCCCAGGCCCAGCTGTGTCCTGGCCCAGGGCTGGAGGGTCAGGTGATGGAGCGCCCCGTCTGCTCCACACGGTCTCTCTCCCAGCACACCTTGCACTTGCACTTGCCTTACGCTGCTTGTGGCCTCAGGGAGAACGGTTTCATATGTGTACCATCATTTCTCACGGCTTGGTGAGCGGGTGCAGTGGGCCCTGTACCACACTTGAGGGAATAGAGGCTTGGGGAGGTTAAATGCTATTCCTCAGGTCGAACAGCTAGTGAGAGGGTGACACCATTACCGACTGGCTGCATGGCCCCCGTCAAGTCTTCTGTCCCTCATCTGTACAGGGAGGTACTTTTACTGTGTCACGGGAAGGTTGTTATAAGGACTGAGTGAGTCAGTCCCCAGAATGTGCTAGGACAGTGCTCAGCAGATACTGTCAGGTGGGGTCTAATTCCATCTGTCCCTCGGAGGCCACGTGGAGGCTGGAATAAAGTGCCCTGCGGGCCAGTGCTTCAGGCCTGGCCCCATTGGGAAGGAGTGCGTGCCGGTGGGATGGCCCCCTGCCTTGGCCCTGGTACCAGTGGTTGAAGTTAAGGGCAAAATAGCTGCACACGCCCTAGAAGCTTTCGGGGTTTACATTTGACAGGCTGAGAGTTGCTGGTGTGAGAGACGAGATGAGACCTCCAGGCCTGTGGAGGGGACAGTTGACCGTACAGGCTCCGTTAGGCCATCTTCGGGACACATTTCGTGGGGTGAGTTAGTGTCTGGGAAGGGGGTTTTTCGAGCGGTCACACTGTTGCTCTGCAGAGAGCTGGGAAGGGGGATTGAGTTTCCATGTGCGTGGGACCGGGATCCCTGTTCGTGTGCTTCTGACAGACTTCTGGAGAGATCGCAGGTGCTTTCCAGTGACCCCTTTTGTATCCCTGGAACATAACTGCAGGCTGGCTCCAGAGTAAATGCAAGCCTCCTGGGCTCTATGCAGTTACACTGGGCTGGCCTTAGCCTTTTCTTTCCGTGCTGGGCCAGTTGTGCACACGCCATCCAGGTGTCCACTGCCGGGTCTCCTGCCGGCTATTGCTTCCTCAGGAATGCTCTTCCCTGCCGTTCACCGCTGCACCCCAGGCATCCTTCAGGTCTCTGCTGCGTGTCAGCTCTTCTAGAGGTCCCCCGTCGTCTCTCCACCTAAATGCAGTCCTTTTATTTCTCTCTTTCACGTACTCCTGTTCTTTCTAAACAGCATTTCCCATAATGTGTAAGTACCTTAAAAAAACGGGGCAATGATTTAGCACTTCTCCCCCCCCCCACCAGGCTGTGTGCCCCGTGAGAGCAGAGACCCTGCCTGTCCCTGTGTCCCCCTTGCTGGCACACAGCAGGCGTGCCTGTAAATACGTGTAACGTGTGTCCACACCTGATGAGCAGCTACGTGGCATGTGCTCATTGCCATTTATTGAACAGAGTTTGTTTCTTGATCTTAATTTTTAAATCACATGGATGAAACATGTTTCTTTTGAAAAATGAAACAAATAAGCACACCTCCATGTGATTTGATACTTTTTACTTAGCCTTCTGTTTTGGGAGGGGACGTTCACCATCATTTTGTGAAAGAGGTGGGGAGGTAAGGTAAGAGATCAAATAAGGTAAAAGTGATAAATGTCAGCTGGCTGTATTTTTAACAAGAAATAAAAGTTACTTTAAACCCTATCTCCACTGTTGCTCTGGACTACTTTCAACATTTCTCAGAGAATTAAATGGAATTCTACTAAATCCCCGTACCTGTGAATAAAAGGGAAATTGTCTGTATTCTCAGGACCTGAAATGTATTTCTCTCTGTTTCTGGAAATGAACATTTTCCCTAGCTGGTTATGGAAAGTCGAGGTGGGAGCACAGAAGTACACTGTGTGTATTTGCTAGCGTAATGGGCTGCTTATCATCACTTTAATCTTACTTGTGTTCCTATATATGAAGATTTTTTTATCATGCCTTTTGCTTAGCCTTTTTCTGAATGAGAGATTAAATTTTCCCCAGGAACTCTTATGAAAGAGAGTGGTAAGGCACGTAAGTTTGGTAAAAGGCAGTCGTTGAGGTAATACACTCTCACATTGCTGAACGTTCTGAATACAAGAGTGTTGAAAATTTTATCACCGGCTCATATACTGCAAATCTGTCTTAAGAATAAAAAGATTCAGATTTTATAGGACGAGCAGTTTGAATCGCATAGAAATTATGATTTGTACACTATTTGGTGTTAAGAAAATTTATACTCAGTCTTACCGTAATTGCCTGTGGTAGGAACTGGATCCTTATCTATTAAAAAAAAATCTGCAGAGTGATATGTGCCCCATTCTTGGTATGGTGGGGTGGAGATTAGTTAGGTCAGGTCATTTAGAATTCTGGGCTAGGTTAGTCATGACGTTGATTTCAGCCTTATCATCCTTTTCAGAATCTCTTATTTTGTTTTGGCCTTTGGTCTTTTGACATCGTGGAAATACTGCAGGGACTTGTCATTCCTTCCTCTCCTGTCATTGTATGAAAAGATTTCTGTAAGATAAAACTGGTAGGATATCAAGGTTTTTGTGTGTGGGTAGGTTTGGTCAGCTCTAAGAATTTCAATTCATAATTATTAGTAATTGTTATTCAGTTAACAGTTTAAAAATTACTATGAAATAATTTAAATATACACAAATCAGAGAGAATAGTACAATAGCCCATCACCCAGATGAAGTAATTAATAAGATTTTGCCATATCTGGCTTTATTCAGACCTTTCTTTTTCTTTTATTTGTTCTTTGTTGAAATATTTTACAGCAAATCCCAGAAATCATGTCATTTTACCCTATATGCTTAAGTAGGCATGTCTGAAAGATAGGGGCTTTTTCTTTCCTCATGCTTTCAACTTGACCCACGAGGCTGTTAAGGACCAGCTCTGTATTAGGCATCTTACTAGGTAGTAAGGATATTTGGGTGAATAAGACACCATCCTGGCTCCCAAGGAAATTAAGGACTGATGGAAGAAACAAAGACACAAGCTTACAGGTGCCTCACTGTATGTGCCAGATAACGCCTATGGGACAAGATTTGTGCAGGATTCAGTGGAAATTCACAAAAGGGACTTGCCAGCCTTGTAGGGTAGGCAGTGGGAGAGACGGTCAGTAGGCCTATGAGAGGAGGAATGCTTTGGTCAGAGTCTTAAATCCTTTCCCCCAACCTTTCAACCAACCCCCTGGGGCCCCTGGGCACACAGCACTGGGTGGTAACTGTTTTTGAGCCCTGTTTCCACATCTTCATGAAGAATTTTAAGGTGGAAAATATTTAAAAGCAGTAACTGTTGCCAAAAGGGACTTGGAATAAACAACTCTAAAATCCTGTGATCTTAAAAAAATACTTTTTGATGGCTGTGCAACCGATTTCCTCCACCTCTAATTTCAGACACGCTGAGTTATTTTGGAGGGAGCAGCCACGGTTTTGTTGGTAACCTTTTTTCTACCTTAGCTTTCTGCTTTTCTGTTCTTATACTTCAGAGAAATGCTGTGCTTTTTAAGTTTATGGCCTTGGTTGTTGATAATGAAGGCTCATCAAATAGTATTTTCTTGAAAAAAAAAGTATGCTGTAATTCAAATACATGCCACTGAAAACATAATATTTTGTCATAACCTTATTATAAGTATTTCAAAGTGGGTTATTTTAAAAATTGTGTCTTTGCAGAAGAGAGAAAATATTGGGTTGGCCAAAAAGTTCGTTTGGGTTTTTCTCTAACATCTTGTGGAAAAACCCGAACGAACTTTTTGGCCAACCCCATATAATATAAAGCATTTTTTAAAAACATAAAAAACCAAAAAACCACGTGAACAGGCGCATCATGTGAGTGTGCTTCTCCAGGATAAACACAGGGGAAATGCTTTGGTTGCGCTTTGAGCGTGGTGGTTGAGGCGTTATCTTGAAATCACGAGTTTTACACATTAGACATGGCTCCAGCGGGCTCATGTGTCGGCCCTGTTGCCAGTGCGCCCCTGAAGCCCTGCTCTGATGCTCTGTGTCTTCTGTCGCAGGCACGCACCGAGGCTGGGCTGCCGTCCAGATGCGTCTGCTTCACGAGCTGGTCTACGCGTCCCGGAGGATGGGGAACCCTGCTCTCTCTGTCAGGCACTTGTCCTTCCTGCTACAGACCATGCTGGATTTCTTGTCAGATCAAGGTGAGTGGATTCAAACTCCAGTTTTCTCCCAGGAAAGATGAATGAGTGCACTCCTGGTGCTGGCCCCCGTCAGCACCGGCCCAGGATCGGGTGGGTGATGTCCTCCGTGCCCTCACCTCCCTGGGCCCCTCTCAACACACACTACTGGCCCTTCTCGCTGCTCTCAGCCTCCGGCATGGGCTCCCCTTGCCTTTGCCTACGTTTTATAAAATGTAAGTGTCAAAGTGTAACACTTACATGCAGAAGTGCACGATTCACAAGCACACTGCTCAGGGAGTTTTCACGAAGTGACCACGTGGTACCCAGCACCCAGATCGGACACAAGACTGGAACCCCAAACACCTCTGTGCCCCTTTTGGTCAGTGCTCCCCTCGCGGGCAGCGTCTGTCTTGACCTTCTGAGGGATCATGCATGTCTTTGCCCACACATCAGGGCAACGTTCTTCTAGGTCCTTGCCTCCGTCACCTTCTCTTCTCACACAGTTCCTGGGTGTCACGTGTTTTTTGGGTTTCAGTCACAATCCGTTTATCTCCAGCCCAGGCCCCACCCTGAGCCCCAGGTGTTCTCCTGCTGCCTGGGTGCCGCACAGGCCCTTGGAAATCAGCCCTCCGCTGCCTGTGTCCCAGCGCCCTGTCTGCCTGTCCCTCCCGCCGGGTTAGCATGAGCTGTGGGTCCCCTGGGAAGCACTCTTGGATGTGATGCAAGTGCGGGGCGTTTATTAGAAGTGCTCTTGGGATCGACACCCACTGAGGGGAAGAGAAGGAGGCAGGTCTGGTTGGGCAGAGGGAAGCTGGGCCTCGGGACAGAATCTGCAGGGGCCTGGGCGGCCCCCGGGAGCTCCGGGCTGGGGTGACCCTGGAGCCGTCCTGCATCATCCCGCAGGCCGGCCTTCTGCCCCCTCTCCGAAAGGTCGTACAGGTTCTCGTGGCGAGGTCCCTATCTCCCTGTGGAGGGCACTGTCTAGAGAGGACGCCGCCCAGAGCCTTGGGGGTGAGGCCTCAGCGGGGCCTCTGGCACTGGGATGGCCGCGCTGTGTGCAGAGGAGCTGGGTCTCTGTAATCACACACCCAGGGGCTGATGCAGCTGCTCCCAGGAAGGGGAGCACATCCCTTCCCTGAGCTGCTTCCACCTCCCCCTGCCTCACCTGCCTCGTCCTGGACTTTTTTCTCGCAAATACACATCTTCTTCCCGCAGCGGGCCTTTGCCCTCACCCCTTGCCTGCACCTTGTCAGCCATCTCCCCTGGGTCTGCACTTCCTCTAGGCTGCCTGTCACAAGTCCCAGGGGACCCGTCGTCCTCCTGCTGTTCGGTCTCTCCCCTCACGCACTACTCACGTTGCACCGACAGAGCTGGTGCCTGTTTAGTCGGCCTGTCTTCCCTGCAGAAGCCCCAGGAGAGAAGGAACTTGGTGGTTATTTAAGGTCATATTAATTAGTGATCCGAAGACGCTGGGTCTAGAAGGAGAGAAACTTGGGATATTTGACCCTGTTGAACAAACCGCTGCCTCATAAGGGCCTGTGTGTAATGGTATTTGGTTAATTGGAGTCTTCTGAGAAGAGGACTGAAGTCAGGAGGACCAAGGGTTCCCTCCACTCACCCCAACCTCTAATTACCATAACCTCAGATCAGTAATTAAGTTCTTCCTGGGCCTTCATTTTCTCATTTGTACAACTAGGATATTACAGATTGTGTGGCAGCTTGTTATTATTTTAATGATAGTATTTTAATTGATTGGGTGACCTTTCTCCTGGGGAGCTCATGGTACCATTCACAGAGTTGATAACTAACATTTCTAAATATCACCGCATTGAAATGAAATACGGAAGAGAGGAGTAGCCTTGTCCTTGGACGGGAACCCGTCTGGGTGTTTGCAGAGGGAGGCAGCACAGTCTGGGGGTTCTTGCCTGCCCCTCCACATAGGTCCCCCCCGCCCGGTGTGTGCCAGTGCGCGGGAACTCACAAGATGGGTCTGGGGCCAATTGTTTTTTGTTTTTTTTTATGACGAATTTTATTCCAAAGTGGCTCTAGTAGTATCAGAGACATTGATGTAGGGTTTGAATATTGTTTCAGGTAAAGTGACAATGGATAAAAGCAGTATTTCTAGTTAATATATTTTTAGATAATGGGATTTTAAATGTGTGAGTTAAAAATGTAATAAATATTAATGAACTTATTTACAAAACAGAAACAGACTCATAGACAATAGAAAACTAACCTATGGTTACCAAAAGGGAAAGGAGAGGGGAATAAATTAGATAGACAACAATGTCCCACTGTATAGTGCAGGGCACTGTATACTCAATATCTTGTAATAAACTATAATGGAAAAGAAATGTAATAAATATTAAAAATAGATGTTTTACTATTTTATCTACTTTGAAAGATTTATCAATTCAGAATTATAGGGGAGATTTGTTTTTTTAAAGGAGAACCACTTTATTTTGAGTAGTAAACAAAACTGCATTTATAACATAATAAACAAACCTTCCTTCAATTTCTTCACAGTTAGTCCAAAGAATAAAACCTCTGACTTAATGAAAATTTACATTTAACCTTAAATATTCTAAAATCCATCCATGTCAACTTTGGAATTTTAATCTTGCCTGATACTATGAAATAGGGCAAACCTTGATCAATGGGCAAATTCCTAATTTTTGCTGTTCAGCCACTTTTCTGGATCTTGCTCTCTGATTCCGTACATTCCAGAGTGTTCAATGGATTTGTAATGAACTTCCAAGATGAAGGAGAATTTCTTGCTCATTGTTTGCCTGAAACCTTGGCTTGTGTTCATCTTTTTAAACAAAAAATATGCTCCAAAAATGCCCACAAGTTCAGCTAGTAAAACTCCTTTAAAGATCTTCTTTGCCAGTGGATCCAGAGTACAGGCCATCCTGAGGCACGTACTCGCGGGGCTGCTGGGACCAACTGTTTACATGAAAAGAGTAGGGTGTGGGGAGGATGCCACGGTTAAGCCTATAGAGGAGTCCATAGTAAATGATGGATATGGGAGCATCATGGGGGAATTGACAGTTCTTTTCAGAGGTGGAAGAATGGTTTGGGTAATGTTCCATGAAGGAGGTGACCTTGACCTTGAAGAACAAATTGGTGTTTGCCAGACAAGACTGAGAAGAAGGAATAGCTTCAGGTAGGAGGACTTTCTCCAGTTCTGGTGGAATTAAGAGGGTTTGGTTTATTTGGGGAATGTTAGATACAGTGATTTGTGTGATTCTGTTGTCTGGGATTTTGGGAAGGAAAGTGGATGATCAACAGTAGTGCAATACGATCCTGCAATTCCACTCCTAGGTATATACTCAAGAGGTTTGAAGACATACACCCACATAAAAACTTGCACATGAGTGTTCCTAGTGGCATCACGCATAATAGCCAAAAAGTGAAAGCGGCATCCATCAATGTCCATTCACTGATGGATGGATAAAGAAAGTGTGGCGTGTCCACCTGGATTTCTCATTCTCTTCCTCTCCCTCATCCCTTCTTCCTTTCCACTTTCCTTCCTTCTTCTGGCTAACATTTGTTCATCCTTCAGATCTCAGTGTAGATAACCACTTCTGTTGTTTTCTACAAAGCCTTTCTTGGTCCCTCAAGACTACCTTGTGTTTCTTTGGAACATTTCCACTGGAGTATGTGCTTACCCATCGAGCACTTTCACCCACTATATTTCGATCGCTCAATTGATTGACAGGCTCCACACTCAGGCTGCAAGCTCTCTGAAGGTGTCTGTCTGACTTGCTGTTTTTCTTGTCCCTGTCACCTAGTGGCTTGTGCTGGCATCCACATAGGGCTGAACGCATTAATAATAAATGCTTTTCCTTTTTTAAAAGTAACTTTATTGAGATTTAGTTCGCAGACCACAGTTTAAAATGTGCCCTTCAGTTTTTTAGTGTATTCACAGATATGTGCACCTGCTAACCACAGTCAATTTAAAACATGCATCACTTTGAAAAGAAACCCTATTAGTGGCTAGTTAAAGCCACTGTGGCTGGTTAGTGGCACCTTCAGTACTCACATCCTGTTGAATGCATTAATAATAAATACTCTCTTTCTTTTTATGGTTTATTTTCACTGTTACTGGGAAGGCTATGGTGAGCGTCTTCAGCGCTTTGGCTTTTCGAGCAGGAGAGAGATTTTGTCAGGAGAGGGATTACTGGGTCAGCCATTCTGAACACTTTTATTGCTGTTGAAACATATTGGAAATTGCCTTCTGAAAGGATTGTTCTAATTATAGCTCTGGCAGCAGTGCTGCTCATTCAGTATGTAGAAAACGTTGCCTTATTGTTTTAATTTGTATTTTCTGGGTAAGTTGCAAGTTTGGATATTTGTTCTGTGTTCCTGTTTACTAATTGTATCTCTTTTATGTGAGACTCTTTTACAGTCTTCTGACTGTTTCCCTGTAGCTTGTCTCATTTGTTTCTCATTTCTTGGGAGGCAGATAGCATCAGGCCACTGTGCTGAGGTCTGTCACGCTTTGAGATGCTAATGAAGTCCTTTGCCCAAAGTCTGTCAGTTACTATGAGAGATACTCATACTATGAAATGTATCTTGTGCCCGTAACATACCTGGATGGTGTACAGCGGGTTTGAAAGAGTTAAGACACCTCCTGAAAGTGCTTCACTTGTTTTTGAACTAAAGCTGAAAGTAGCAGGAAAATCTGTTTTAAACATTTTATGATAGATCTCTTTAGCATAATACGAAACTTGAAACTGTTGCTGGAACTCTGAGAAATACATTTAACGTTACAGAGGATTAGCTCAGACCAACATATGTGAATTTAACAGAGAGTATGAAACGCTCTACATTTGACCCACATTGGCCATCCTTTGGTTTCTTGAATACGTCAGGATTTTTGCTTTTTGGTGTTTTCTTGTCTCAGGACGTCGGCTACACTCTTGCCAGCCGTCCCGCCTTCAGCTCTGGGGTGGGTTTGTGCAGGTGGCCTCCCCATCCCCGCCCTCACAGCGTCTTCTGGTCATGTCCCGACTTTTCTTCAGGGCGGGCAGTTTTTATGGCTGACCCTCCACTTCCTCTCTTGATAAATCCCCCTCTAGGAGAGTCGGGCCCCTCAGGGACAGCAAGGCTAAGTTATGGGACGAGGGGCCGAGCTGCCTGGGAAGAGAGGGGTTTCCTCTTTTCTGCCGGGAGAAGCGTGAAGCCCCAGGAACAGCTGGTGACCACACTGGGTCGTGTGGAGAAGAGTCTAGGAGTGGAGCGGACTCTTCCTTGTGTGGTCTTCTCCATCCCAGCAAGCACACTGTAATCCAATCCCTAGAGCCCTAGGGCCTCCCTAACTAGAACGTGCTTTCTAAGAAAGCAGTGACTCTGCTTGGATCACTGTACCTTTTTTTTTTTTTGCGGTACGCGGGCCTCTCACTGTTGTGGCTTCTCCCGTTGCGGAGCACAGGCTCCGGACGCACAGGCTCAGCGGCCATGGCTCACGGGCCAAGCCGTTCCGCAGCATGTGGGATCCTCCCGGACCGGGGCACGAACCCGTGTCCCCTGCATCGGCAGGCGGACTCTCAACCACTGCGCCGCCAGGGAAGCCCCTCATTGTACCTTTGTAGCATCTAAAATAGTCGTAGGTGTGCCGGAAATATTTGTGGAATGAGTGAGTGATGGTGGCAGTGATCAGTGACCGCTCAGGAAGTACTCTGGGAGGGGGGTTTTGGAGGGGACGTTGGAGTGCAGTGCTAGGACACTTGTTTTGAAGGTGCATTTAAATAACATTTTACCATGGTGTTTGTTCATACTTTAAAAGTGATGTGGAATGGCTGATAGGAGTTATGAGGTGATTGATCCCTCCTGCTCACCCACCCGTCACTCCTTGTCGGAACCTCTGGCCAGATGATTTACTTGCATGGATTTAGGGTTAAGGAAAACCCAGAAGAAGGAAGAGATGGAGTCTCCCAGGGAGGGCTGAAGAAGCGCTCATCAGGAGGCAGCAGGTGCTTGAGATGGGCCCTGGAGAGTGAGCAGGTACTCAGCAGGTGTGTGGGACACAGGTGGGGGGAGGTGAAGGGAAGGAGTGTTTAGGGCAGGGCTTGCATGAATGAAAGAGAAGGTGCCGCTGTGCTTGGGCTGAGGGATGCGGCTCAGTCCAGACCTGGGTCTTCTGCTGCTTCGGGCGTGGCAGTGCCTGTCAGGTAACGCATCTCATCCGTAAAGTGGGAATGGATGCCCGGAGGACGGCGTCCTGGCGTTCCTCCCCGGCACCCCTGTGTTCCCGGGCTGCCCGGCTGCAGAAGGCCACAGCCGTGTGAGGCCCGTTGCAGGGGTGAACACGGAGGTCCTGCCTGGTGAAGTGGCCCGTCCCAGCCCCACAGCCAGTGGCAGAACGAGCCTGGACCCCTAGCCTCTCAGCTCCTAATATGGGGGAAGGGAAGCCACTTGCCCTGACCCCTCTTGACAGAGACGTTTTCGTTTAACTGCCAAATGACTGCCTGCTTCCACGCGGCGTTCGAGCTGCTGATGGCAAATGCGTTCCAGCACAGTGCTGCTGCCCCCTGGCAGTGGGATGGTGATATGTGTGTATTTCATCAGAGGGAAAAACACTCGCTGAGCTTGGAAACAGCTTCAAGGCAGCCTTTGGTGCACAGAGGACCTTGTTTATGGAAAAGGAAGAATTACCGCTTTGAAAACAATGACAAAGCTGTGAAAACTGCAGTTCAGTTAGGGTTCTAAATGCACGCATGCATACGTAGTACACGCGTACCATTAAAGAGAAATTGTCCCGACACTTGTTAACATGGCAAGGAAGACTGTTCCAGACAGCTGCAGTAGGGTCAGCTCTGTTGCGGTAGGGGAGAGAGACTGGGCTCCCTCCGAATACAAGGACAAGTGGGGATTCAGAGCCAACAGCAAAGGGAGTGGGGAGTGGACAGAAAATTACTCAGAGGAGACGTCGGGCTGGGGAACTCTGGCGCAGTTGGCCTAACAGGATTCTCGCTGAAGGCAAGCCAAGGACTTAGACGTCAAGGGGGGGTCGGGTGGTGTGAGGAACTTGATCAGATATTGAGGGTGATCGGATATCAAGGGTGGGGGGACTCTCGCTCACCTAATTAAGTGGGATCCTTGCTACAGCTGGACTAGGCGGGGCGAGGACAGGGCCTAGTCAGAAGTAGGGCACTGAGCAGCCTGCATCAGGGAGAGGTTCTCTGTCATTACGCACACAGGTACGTACATGCACGCGTGCTTTATGACCGGGGTTTGACTGTACGCAGTGTGGGGGCTGGCTGCACGGTATGTGGAGCAGTTGCTTCTGTGTATGCTGCCGGATCCTGAAGCCCTCAGGCAGGCAGTCGGAGAGGCGGTTGGGAAGGGGAGGTGGGTGGGAAGGAAGCACAGACGAGCAGGCACTTGTGAGGCTGAGCTGGACCCCACCCCACGGGGAGGGACAGGAACCGTGCTGGTTTCTCAGCACCTCCCAGCCCCCAGCTTCGATGATGGGAGCCCCTGGAGGAGCGGCCACCTGGCCCAGGAGCTGGAGAAGCTGAAGCAGAGGGCCTGGGGGCGGCTAGAGGAGCTGGGGGAGGGATGCTGCCTCCACCCCACCACCCCAGCAGTGTCGGTGGGCGTGCCTGTGCCTTCCGGGTCCCCATGCACGCTGGCTCAGAGTATGCAGGGAAGGGGCTTCTGGGAAGTGTGGATTCAGCTTAGCTAAACGCACACACTGGTGAAGATTTGACTTCGTGGTTTGAAGGGCACGTCCCCTTTCAGGAAGCGGGAGATGAGTTCCCATTGAGAAAAAGCATTCCTATTTTATATTTGCTTTCCTTGCTATCATAGTTGACATTTTACTTCTTGTTTTAGTACCGGGAACAACTTTTTGTTTTGATTTCTCTTTGATGAGCCCGTAGTTATACATTTAGATGGGCTAGACAGGAATAATTCCTCCGTTTCCTCCCCCGCTGCTTCCTTCTCTCTTTGAAAACTGTTCATCTGAGATTACGTGATGCTTTTTGAACGAGAGTGGATTGTACTGTGAAGAGAATCAGAAAAAGTAGGATTGCCAATTCCTTTAAAAATTTTGGTTTTTACATGTAAAGTAGATAGGTTTTTGAGTTGTGAGTGCAATTGCAGTAGACCCGTAAGGCTCCTGAAGGTGTATTTTAAGGGTTCTAGGAATACTGTGCAGACGATGAAGGACAAGGCAGGGGTAAACGATGGCATTGGGGAGCTCTCCTTATCTCCTTTCTGGAAGTGTTTATTGATCATCTCCGTGACTTGGACACGATGCTGGGTCCATGCAGTACCAGAGGTGACTTTTGGGTTGAGCTGGAGGCCGAGGGACAGCGGCGGCAAGGCTGTGGGGCGGGGCATTGCGGCAGCTGTGCTGGCGGGAGCGAGGTGCGAGGAGTTACGAATGCTCCCGGCGTCTTTTGGCCGAGCAGTGTTTAGTGTAACAGGATGCCTGCAAAACGTGGGGCTAAGGGATGGCGGGAGATGCAGCCAACAAGAGAGACTGGGTGGGGTGAGGAGGCCCTTGGTGCCAGTCCTGTGGGCGGGGTAAAGGGAGGCTTATCTGCACGGTTGTCACACGTCACCTCCTTCTTCATCTAGGGGAAGCAAAGAAGGAGGGACAGAGGATGGAGGGGTTTCGGGAGGAACTGGAGAAGCTGGGTCGGGTATTTTGGACTCAGAAACCAGCTAAAATGGAAGAAGCCAAAGCTTGTTACCTTCCACCCCAATCCCTAACCCTCACCTAAAACAACCTGCAGGGAGTTTTAGGTTTTGGGGGTTCCTTAAGTAGAATGGTAAATTTATGTTCGCTACCATCTACGTTTTATCTCTGAGCATCATTTTTGGAGGGGGGGAGACCCTGGGTTCAAATGCCAGGATTATCACTTGCTGCTTTTGTTTCCTTTACACTCCCAGCCCCTTCGAGTCCCTTTGGGTTGTCCCTTTGAGTCTGCGCCTCCGCCAGGTGTGCCCAGTGCCCCTGGGCTTCAGCTGCTACCTACTTCGTCTCCCAGAGCACCCTTCATCACTCAGCCTCTGCATCTCGACCTTATCCGAGGTCCAGGCCTGCAGGTCGCCCATCGCCTTCAGACTCCTCTCTGTTGGCGTCTGTACTTCCAATCAGGGCTCGTTTCCCATCCCTTCCTGCTCTCGTGACCTTCCGCTGTGACCTCAGGAACTCATGGTCTGTCATAGCAAAGGCCCCTGTTTCGTCTCAGCCTCTTTTTTCCCCTGAATGTTCCATTAACCTTGTACTAAGGTAGTGACTCTTTACCACAGAGTTTGCAAATGTGTGGGAATGTTTCTGGTAGAACCTTGACCAAGGGGTGTCATTTGTGTTTCGCAGGAAGGAACGAGGCCGCTAAATGCAGGTCTAACGCAGGTGAATAAAGCACAGAAAGCGCTGTCCTGCTCAGGATGCCGGGGGTGCTCCCCCGGAGCCACAGTGGGAGGGGCCAGCTCATTCCCCTAGGCGCTGCTTCCCGGGCCACCCCTCAAGATGCTGCTGTTTTTTCCTGCTGCACGCCAAGTGCCTCGGGGCCTAGAGGTGGCAGAGAAGTCCTTCCCTATTGCTACTTCCAGGCAGTCCTCCTTGGAACCCCCAGCTCCTCACAGCAGGTGTGCTTCTCCTTTGGCTGTGGCCACTGACGCGCTGTGGTCACTTCTCCCCGCTCCTGGCTCACCCTGTCCTGCAGCGCCGCCACTGTCTGTGTCCTGGTGGCTTCGTCATCCACTTTGAGGGTCCAGTCAACACCATCCTTATCTTCTCCGTCTGTTTCCTCCTGGTGAACTCACAGGCCCACGTCTCCAAGAACTCTCTGCACACATGGCTCTTGTATTTATTTCTTACACGGAGCTCCAGGCCGGAACGCCTGACTGCCTACGCATCCTTCCCTGCCCCGTCTCAGCACGTGGTACCACTCTCCGTCCAGCTGCTCAGACCACAGACGGTGAAGTCAGTCTCCATCCCCTTTCCCCCCATCAGACCCCATATCTAAGTCCTCCTCAGGCAGTCCTCCGGGTTTTACCTCCCAAACATCCCCATCCGGCCCCTTCTCCCCACCTCTGTGCTTAGAGGGGCAGCCTGAAACCACCCCCGCCCCCATCACTCAGCTGGGTGTGGATTTGGTTCTTTGGTTCAAATAAGGCTTAGCCCTGGGGGAAATACATTTTGAAAGCAAGTAACGCTCAGCCCACAGTTAACTCAGAATTTACAGGCCCAGTTCCAGAGCCCCGTCCTGGACCCAAGAACTTGCATTTCACAAGGACCTGGGGAGGCCAGTGCAGGAGGTGTGCTCCGTGGGCTGAGAAATGGGCTTTGATAAGAACAAGTTGTTGGTGGGGAGTTTTTCACTGGGGCCATTTCAGGGTCTTTGCCTCTTTCTGGAAAGCAGGCTCCCTTCTTCCCCTCCGTAGCCACCATTCACTGGGTTTG